AGAGGAGAGTGTTGAAGACTTACGTCTAATTCACAGGTCTGAAAGAGCTACAAAAGGTAGACCTCCAAAGATATTTGCTGATGAATTTGCTAAGGCAGCAAAAGCTGTAACTGCTGTTAATAGCTCTAGGAAGGTATTTGAAACTTCAAGCTTCCAAGAGATCCAGGCTTTGGACTTGAAGGATGCTGAACCATGGTTAACTGCCATGAAGGCTGAGCTTGATTCCTTGGAGAGGAACAAAACATGGGAGCTAGTTCCGACAGTTCCAGGGATGAAACTGCTTGACAGTAAATGGGTCTTCAAAGCACAGACAGATAAAAATGGCAAGATAGTCAGACACAAAGCCAGATTGGTAGCCAGAGGTTTTTCACAGGTACCAGGAGAAGACTATCACGAGACCTACTCGCCCACCGTGAGATATGAGAGCATTAGGCTTATGCTCAAGTTTACTGCAGAAGAGAATCTACACATTTCTCATCACGATGTGAATACAGCATTTTTGTACGTAACCTTAGGTGAATCACTTTATATACTTCCACCTGATGGTGTAGAGGTAAAACAGGGATTTGTTTGTTCTCTGAAGAAGTCCCTATATGGTCTCAAGTAACGTGCACTCTAAACTCACTGAAGTGTTGTTTTCCCTAGGTATTCAGCAAAGTAAGGCCGATCCATGTGTATTTGTCAAAGATACACTGTATTGCTTGTTTTATGTTGATGATATTCTTTTCTTTTGGAAGGATGTCAAAATGTCCAATAGCACCCTAGCTCAACTGAAGGAGCACTTTGACATGAAAGATCTTGGTGAGGTAACCAACTACCTATCTCTGGAAATAGAGAAAGACCAAGGTGGTAATATTTTAGTACACCAGTCACAGAAAATTGCTGATGTGTTAACCAAACTAAACCTGATGGATGCTAACCCTGTAGACACACCAATGACAACAGGTTATCAGGTAGATGATACTGAAGAAGCATTTTCTGACACGACACTGTACAGAAGTGTGCTAGGCAAACTAAACTTCATTGCCAGATGTTCAAGACCTGACATTGCAGTTAGCTGTAACTTGCTAAGCAGACAAGTCAACAATCCTACTGTTAAGGACTGAAAAGCTCTGAAATGCATAGAACGCTATTTGAAAGGCTCTCTGCTCTCACAAGGAGAGGATGTAGCTTAGTAATAAAGCATAGCATGTAGCCATAAATCTCATCACTTCTCCTGCTTTGATTCTCTGCTGAATGGAATGTGCCTGAGGCCTCATCAAAGGCTCAGGTCGTTAATTATTCCTTGGGAGGGCGATTCTGGAAGATGAGCTTTATCAGCTTGGTTGTAACGTAGATTCTGACAGAGGATGGGGTGAAAAAGACTTTTAAAACTTCCCCACCATATCCCAGAATACAGTTTGTAGAGCATCATTGCTATATCATTGTTACATCACTGACATGTCACAAAAGGGGAGGGGTAGACGGGTTACACTAGTTTAACCTTAGCAAACATGTCCAGACAAGGCCTTGGTACAAGATTAGCATAAGCAGACATGTCAGGCAAGACTCAGGTATAAGGTTAGCATAGACAAACACCTCTGAAGTCCCATCACCCAAAGTACAATAGAACTTCCTTTGCATGTCTGGCCCCTTGGCAAGTTTGGTGATGGGATAAGCTTTCCTTGGCCCAGCTCAGCAATTATCACCCCTAGACACTTCCTGGAGTCCTTTTTCAAGGGGAAAAATAGGTTTGGAATGGAGGAAACTGACAAAGGAGTTGATTTTATATTATATTTAAAGCTAGGTAACTTCCCTAAGCTGTTAAGCTGAAAGGATACATTCAGGCATAATATTTGTAACATTTAACAACTTTAAAGATGTGCCCCCTGTCAGCTTCGCCTTTGAGCCAGTGCCACCGACTGGGCTCAACCACTTCAGCCCCAACTGGGCCAGGCGAGCTGGGATACCACTTTCAGAGACCTCCTTCTACAGCAACAGGTCTAAGTGCTGTGGACAACACAACTCAGAGCTGTGAGCACCGAACTCACTTCCAGAAGTCAGCAGAGTACAGCAGTGCACAGCAGAGCATAAATCACTCGGACGACAGTGCTGAAGAATATCTTCCTTTATTCTCTACAGCTATTGTACTATACAAACTATATACAAGGCTTTATGGAGACGCTGGACTGCACTGAGTGTTACAGCTGCTTTTTGCAGTGACCTTATCTACACAGAGATAACACTCAGTCTCCCCCTTTGAAGTGAGGCTGGAGCGGAATAAGTAGCGAGCACAATCCGCCCCCCCTCCTCTCTGGAACATCAGCAGATTCTTGCAATGGAGGGGTGAAATATCCTCACCCCCCCCCCAAATTTCCATAACATGAGAAATATCTATGTGGGACAGGAAGCTACAGTTAGGACTGGAAATGGAACAACTGATTGGTTCAAAATTGGGAAAGAGTACGACAAGGCTGTATATTTTCTCCCCGCTTATTTAACCTATATGCGGAATTCAACATGCGAAAGGCTGGGCTGGATGAATAACAAGCCAGAATTAAGATTGCTGGAAGAAATATCAACAACCTCAGATATGCAGATGACACAACCTTGATGGCAGAAAGTGAGGAGGAATTAAAGAACCTCTTAATGAGGGTGAAAGAGGAGAGCGCAAAATATGGTCTGAAGCTCAACATCAAAAAAATGAAGATCATGGCCACTGGTCCCATCACCTCCTGGCAAATAGAAGGGGAAGAAATGGAGGCAGTGAGAGATTTTACTTTCTGGGGCTCCATGATCACTGCAGATGGTGACAGCAGCCACGAAATTAAAAGACGCCTGCTTCTTTGGAGAAAAGCAATGACAAACCTAGACAGCATCTTAAAAAGCAGAGACATCACCTTGCCAACAAAGGTCCGTATAGTTAAAGCTATGGTTTTCCCAGTACTGATGTATGCAAGTGAGAGCTGGACCATAAAGAAGGCTCATCGCCGAAGAATTGATGCTTTTAAATTATGGTGCTGGAGGAGATTCTTGAGAGTCCCATGGACTGCAAGAAGATCAAACCTATTCATTCTTAGGGAAATCAGGCCTGAGTGCTCACTGGAAGGACAGATCCTGAAGCTAAGACTCCAATACTTTGGCCACCTGATGAGAAGACTCCCTGGAAAAGACCCTGATGTTGGGAAAGATGGAGGGCACAAGGAGAAGGGGATGACAGAGGACGAGATGGTTGGATAGTGTTCTCAAAGCTACCAGCATGAATTTGACCAAACTGCGGGAGGCAGTGGAAGACAGGAGTGCCTGGCATGCTCTGGTCCATGGGGTCACGAACAGTCGGACAAAACTAAGTAACTAAACAACAACAAACTTGCCAAATGAACCTTATATCGGCCCGTTTGACAAGACCAGCTGCCATGTTTGAGTTGGGTTTTTTTTGGGGGGGAGGCTTAAGCATCATTTTAGGAGGCAGCAAACAGTCAGCTTTAAAAACTGTGGAATCTGTTATCTGTCACATGAGAAACAAGGCCTGATTCCCGCCCCCGCCCCTTAATCCTCTCCAGCTATTTGCTGATCCATCAACCCTGATGGAGCTAAAAATATTCCCAGTTCCCCAAATTCCTGTCAAAACTGTCCCAAGGTGGTGTCAACCATAAATTTTCCCTACTATTTGGAACACATCTGACGAATTGATTCAAATCAACATTCATAAGCATGGAAACGAAAATGCTTCCCTGGTTGTCCACTTCCAGTCTCAGCTCTTGGCAGACTGTTTCTGAACTGGGAGGCATTGGCTGGTTCCTGTCACCTGACAGCTGGAGGTTTCCAGAGGGAGAGTGCAGAGTGCTGAGGAACCAGATGCTGAGACTTCAGCTAGAGTTCAACAACACAGGTGCTTGCTATATGCAATTTGGAGACAAAGAATCCTTTATTTTCAGTCAGATTCAGAACTATTTCCTGACTTTTTAACTATGAATTACATTTCTGTTCCACATTCCCCTCATCAAGCCCACCACAAGATATATTGCTTTCACGCACACAGCAACCCTGCGAGGGAGGTTTCGCATAAAGATGGTGACCAGCTTTAAGTCACCCAATCAGCTTCACGACTGAGGAGGGATTTGAATTGTTCCCGGCATTTGTGACCTTGATCCTTGGACTCCAGCTCCCATGAGCCCCAGCCAGCGTGGCCAGCGGCTAAATAAGATGTGAGTTGTAATTTGACATCATCTGGAGGGGCCACAGGTTACCCAACAGGTCTGTTTTCAGCGCCTTCACCTTCTCCTGGGGCAGCTGCCCTTGGAACTCCTCGTACTGGATGTGCTTCGTCCTGTAGTGCCTCTGCAGGTTGGCCTTCTTCAGGACGGAGAGGGCCTCACCACAAATGAGGCACATGGGCATGCCTTTCAGCTCCACAAAGAAAGAGTCGTGTATCCATCTTTTTTGAAAATGCAGCACTCCAAATCTATCTTCCTCTTCTTGTGGAAACATTGATTGTGTCCAGAAACAGACTACTAGGCAGATGGAGCTGTTCTAATATGGGAGTCCTATGCTGCCTATAGCCAGCCCTGGTCAGTAATGTGCCTGCAGCTCTTTGAGCCATTGAAGTTTCTGAGCTCTTTTCAAAGGCAGCCCCAGGTAGAGTGTGTTAAACTAACTCCTACGCAATGTGGCACCAGACTGCTTTCTTTTTTTGTAATTATCTGTTTGTTTTAAATTCTGTAGCTTAAATTCTCTTGATGCTTCTTTTTTTGAGAAGGGCCTCTTACGGTCACAAAGCAATGATTTTCAGTGCAGCTCCATAACATTGATTGCGCCCTCACACTGCCTCTTTTTGTGTGGGGATTTGGATCCAGAAAAGGAGCAGATGGGGAAAGGTTAAGCAGAATCCCACCCACCCCCATGTTGCCTGTAGGTGTGCTCAGTCTTCACCTGCTTCATGGCTCCACCTTGAATGAGAAAGAAGGAAGGAGCAGTAGAAAACAGGAAGTGGTCCTTCAACCGGCCAGGACATCTCACCATCACAGACAGATCCAGTCTCCTGCTGTGGAGTGAGGAGTGGCCCAGGGATGGCAGAGACAGGAGGGGAAGGGCCCAGCGACAGAAGGGATGGCAGGGCTCCAGATGCTCCCTTGGACCCCTCCCCTGACACCAAGGGGAGCTCCTCTTCTGGGGCTGAAAGCATTGGCGTGGTTTGATTTTGTCAGGATTGCAAGGAAGCATAGAAGGAAAGGTAAAAAACAGCTATGCGGTTTATTAAAGTTAATTAAAGTATCTGTGGTTTTTCCCGTGTGTGTTTGTTGGTGTCTTCTAAGTTTCCCACTTTCACTGAAGCCCTTTCCACATTCCATACATTTAAATGGTTTCTCCCCCGTGTGAGTTCGTTGGTGTATTCTAAGTGCTCCATAGTGACTGTAGCTCTTTCCACATTCAATACATTTTAATGGTTTCTCCCCTGTATGAGTTCGTTGGTGTATTCTAAGTGCTCCGCTTTTGCTGAAACTCTTTCCACATTCAATACATCTAAATATTTCCTCCCCTGTATGAGTTCGTTGGTGTATTCTAAGTTTCCCACTTGTACTGAAGCTCTTTCCACATTCAATACATTTAAATGGTTTCTCCCCCGTGTGAGTTCGTTGGTGTATTCTAAGAGTTCCACTATCACTGAAGCTCTTTCCACATTCAATACATTTAAATGGTTTGTCTCCCGTGTGAGTTCGTTGGTGTATTCTAAGAGTTCCACTTTTGCTGAAACTCTTTCCACACTCAAAACATTCAAATGGTTTCTCACCCGTGTGAGTTCGTTGATGTATTCTAAGTGTTCCACTACGACTGAAGTTTTTTCCACATTCAATACATTTAAATGGTTTGTCTCCCGTGTGAGTTCGTTGGTGTATTCTAAGTGCACCACTTTGACTGAAGCTCCTACCGCACTCCATACATTCAAATGGTTTCTCCCCTGTGTGAGTTCGTTGATGTTTTCTAAGTGTTCCACTACGACTGAAGCTCTTTTCACATACAGTACATTTAAATGGTTTCTCCCCCGTGTGAGTTCGTTGGTGTCTTCTAAGTGTTCGACTTTCATTGAAGCTCTTTCCACATTCAAAACATTCAAATAGTTTCTCCCCCGTATGAGTTCGTTGATGTATTCTAAGTGCTCCACTTTCACTGTAGCTCTTTCCACATTCAATACATTTAAATGGTTTCTCCCCTGTATGAGTTCGTTGATGTATTCTAAGTGCTCCATTATCACTGAAGCTCTTTCCACATTCAATACATTTAAATGGTTTCTCCCCTGTGTGAGTTCGTTGGTGTACTCTAAGTGTTCCACTTTTGCTGAAACTCTTTCCACATTCAAAACATTCAAATCGTTTCTCCCCCGTATGAGTTCGTTGATGTTTTCCACTTTCACTGAAGCTCTTTCCACATTCTGTAAATTCAAATAGTTTCTCTCCTTTTTGAGTTTGTTGTTGTATCCTCAATTTCTTTGTTCTTTCGCACAAATTCACATGTGGCTCCATAGAATTCTGACTTTCATCTTCCTCACCTGTTTGGGAGTCTGGGAGGAAAGAGAATCCTGTCAGACTTTCAAGAAAGACAAAAAGGGAACTGAACACCTGTCCATCCCAATCTGCACCTTCTCTCGTTGTAATAGCTTCATTCTCCACTATCCTCTCTAGGTTCCAAATTTTACGAAAGCTGATGAGATAGTGGCAAGAGCAACACATGATCAGTCAATTCACACTTAATAGAGCAGCATCATTTTATAATGCAGATCTATGGTGGAGTTGGCTTATTAGACACATCTATTTTTTCTTTCTGAAGTGAAGAAATGATCTCAGGCTCAAGTAACAGTGTTTCCCATGTGAAATAAGTAAAACTTAAGTGCTACATGTAACTGTAAAAACATTGCAATATATTGGAACCTAAGAAGAGCCTGCTGGATCAGGCAAAGGCCCACCGAGTCCAGCATCCTCTTCTCACAGAGGCCAACCAGATGCCTGTGGGAAACCGGCAAGCAGGATTGGAGCACATGAGTCTTCTCTGCCTTCCTGTGCTTTCCAGAAACTAGTATCAAGAAGCATTATTGCCTGAACCACGAGGGCAGAGCAGAGACGTCAGTCTTATCCTTTTTTTCAAGCTATCCAAGTTGCTGGATGTCACTGTCTCCTGTAGGATGGATTCCATAGATGAACTATGCTTCTGTTTATTCATCTTTGCAGCCCTTAAAAGCTGATAAATGTATTATGGCTTAAGCTTTTGTGGGCTGCAGTCTGACAATGTGGACTCTTGACCAGGAAAGCTGGTGCCACTATAAACTTCTGAGTCTCTTTGTTGGTTTTGTGTACTTATTTTGAAATTTGCACCAAGGTTGTACCACAGTAGCTCCATGGAAGCTTAGGGACGGACAAAATTACAGGGTGTCAGCTCTGTGAATCTGAAGCCTCTCGTGCCTTCGCTGACAGAGCCTGAGAACGCAAGAGATGTGATTCGGTTGGAATGTGAAACAGGGAAGGAGCAGCCAAGCTGCAGCAGGAGCAAAGAACAAAGAGCAGGAAGAGGAGATGCCGGCGGGGGAGGGGCACAGACTGTTATCTCCAGTTTGAGCTCTGCCAAAGAGACCCCGGAAATAGCCTGTCCAAAAAATCGTAGGCTCGAGAGAACTTGCGAGAAGGGGGGGGGAGCGAAAGTGGGGTGGGGGCTTCTTTGCTGGAGGACTCGGCAACTGCAAGCTGGGATGAACAGGCCAAAGACTGAGCTCCACAGTGATTTATGAGTTTGAGCAATAAACCTGAGATAATTACTACTGGAGTTGTCTCGCGTCTGTGCGGGAGAACCAAGCCATTACACAGGGGCGCTATAAATTATTATCCCACTCACTCACTCTCACAAACAACCCCTGTCTGTAAGATTTACACAGTTTGCTTATAATACCAGCCGCTCTTGGACTTTATATGCCCAATCCTAAGTGCAGAGCCTCCAGCCACAGGAATTGTGTATCATGATAACGGGTCCTTTGTCCCTTAACCCCACCAAACTGGGAAGGTGCATGAATTTATTGTGTTTTGATGCTGGTGGAATGTATCATTCTGACCCTGTCTATAAAAAATAAGAGTAATAGAAACAATTTAAATACATTAATTATAAATAATTATGCGAAGCACTTCATTCCCCTTCACCCATTTTTCAGGATTGGTGTGCAACATCATTATCATCAATTATCTCTGCCGTGGAAATAACATCTAAGATTTCAAAGCCTGGAGGAAGAAAATCTGCCCCCACTACTTTAGGAAAAGGATTCAAGAAACAAAGAGCTGCTTCTGAGAAGGCCTCACCCCTTCCTTCTTCCTGTCAGGAACTTCCTTCCATTTGTCTCCTCTTCATCTTTTCCTCTTTCTCCCTCCACCATCCATGTATCCCTGTCCCCATCTCCTCTCCCCTGGAACTCACCAGATTTCTCCAAGGGGCCTGGGAGGGAATGCTCAGAGGTTGTGGGGAGGGATGCGGGAGACAGCCTGACCAGGTCAACCGTCCATCTTCCTCCTTCCATCCTGGCCAGGGTTGCAGGTTCAGTCTCAGCTAGGTTTGCAGCTTCAGCTTCCTGAGGAGCGCAGAATCCAGAGCCAGTTGCAGCTTCCTGGGAGGGAGGGAAGAAGAAGAAGCCAAGGGAGTCTGAGAGCCCCTGCAGGGATTCTCCTGCCCAAGACATTCCGCTGCCCCTGGAGAAGCCCCAATTGGGCACCCCCTTCCTAAGAGCCCCCACCCATTTTCAAACACCTTTGGCAATTCCTTTCACCTGCCTGTCCCACCTCCCTTCCTAAGGCTGGCATGGTATGCACATTAGTGGCCTGAGAGTAGATCCCTTGGAACTTAAGAGTTAATCTGCAAAGGACTGCTCTGAATACATGGGTGGCCCTTGCATGGAGAAGAAGGAAGCCTCTTGCTTGCATCTGGACCCCCTGGGAGAGGCAGTGGATCCGCCCACTGCTCCCTCTGTCCTCGCTGCCTCAATCTCTGTCCTCCTGCCCTGCAAACACCCTTTGCTCTTGTTCCTCAGGGGAGAGAGGCGGCTGGTGGAAGGAGCCTTCAAACCCATCCGTTTCCTCCTCTGCTCCCCCTCCTGTCCTTTTGGGAAACAGGAACTTTGGTCAGGAGTAAACAACTTAGATGGCAAGTTTGCAAGATAAGCACTTTGGAGCACTGCTTGCTCCTACTATGTGTGTGTCTGCGTGTGTTTGGACCTAGAGGACAACGTACATGTTTATGCCCCGTGATTCCTTAAAGAGGGCAATTCTTTAAAACCGAAGGCCATTTCTACAAAATGGAAGACTTCCGAAGGCAGCCTTTTAAAGGGAGATTTTTGCTTGTTTTTATTTTGTTGGAAGCTACCCAGATGGGCAGAGGCAACCCAGTCAGATAGACAGGATGCAAGTAAGAATAATAATAATAATAATTGCTTCCTAAGCCTGTCCTGGGACGCGGGTGGCACTGTGGGTTAAACCACAGAGCCTAGGACTTGCCGATCAGAAGGTCAGCGGTTCGAATCCCCGCGACGGGGTGAGCTCCCGTTGCTCGGTCCCTGCTCCTGCCAACCTAGCAGTTCGAATGCACATCAAAGTGCAAGTAGATAAATAAGTACCGCTCTGGCAGGAAGGTAAGCAGCGTTCCCGTGCACTGCTCTGGTTCGCAAGAAGCGGCTTAGTCATGCTGGCCACACGACCCGAAAAGTGTACGCCGGCTCCCTCGGCAAGTAAAGCGAGATGAGCGCCGCAACCCCAGAGTCGGTCACGACTGGACCTAATGGCCATGGGTCCCTTTACCTTTACCTGGTGCCACTATAAACCTCTGAGTCTCTTTGTTGGCTTTGTCCCTTTAGTTTTTAAGCCTTTGAACACTTTTGAATGCAACAGGGCTTCTTATTTTTACTGCTATCAGTGGGATCAGTCAAACCACGAAGCCACTGATCAACCAGAGTTTCCTGTTTTGACCAAGCACAGTTTGAAGTTAGATTAATCTCCCAGCTTGTTCCAAAGCTGGCAGCTGTAGTTTCCTGGTTTGGGCAAAATGGAAAGTTTACTAGTTATGGCTCATAAGAGACTGTCTGGTTTCATCACAGTTCACCCTCAGGGCCAGCCAAATCATGAGGTAAGCTGGGACAATTAGGTCAGGAGGGAGATGCAGGGAGAGATGGGACTAGCACATTCCCAGCTCCCCTGTTCGTTAGCCTTGCTGTCAGTGCAGAACCACAGCTGGTAAATTTGTGCAACTACCCATGCAGAGTCCTTTTCTTTTGCCCTCTCTCACTCAAGGTTGGGTGGGGGTCCTTCCTGGAGTGATGCATTCTGGTTGTGGGGGCCAGGAGACTGTGGTGGCGGCTAGAGTTTTTGGTTTTAAACTTGGGACAACTTAGGTTTTATCGTAACTTTGCTGCAGCAATGCATTAAAAACTGTTCCTATTTTTAACCCGGCTTTTCAGGCTGTGATTCAGTCATCTGAACCTGGCCATTATCTTAATAAATCTTGCAACAACCTTGCAAGGTAGGCCAGTCTTATTTAATGCGACTACACTTGGGATTGCTGAGGCTGCAAGACGTACCAAGATTTTTACCTCAGTGGGGAGAAAAGAGCATTTTGGAAATGGAGGCAATTTAGAGGAGGAAAATGGGGTTTGGTGGAAGGATCCCTCTTCTGACACAGCTTCTGCTCTGATAAAATTCAGAGTCCCCTGTGGTTGCTTTATTAAAGTAAAAACATCAGGAGATATGATCGCAAACCTCCCATGTATAAGAAAGCTTGGTCTAGCAAGCCTTTTTAAAGTGGATTAGAGAGAAAATGCAGGGAGGAGGAATATTCACCACCATAGCTAAACAGAACCTCCATGTCGAGAGGCAGTGGACCTGTGACCTCCAGGTGCTGGAAACCCAGGTGAGAGGAGGGCACTTACCTTTCCCAGAAGCCCCTCAGTGTCTGGGAGCAGAGTCTGGTCTGTCCCCCCTGCTCTCCCACTGGGCCACCGACTGGCATCCGCAGCTCCCCTGAAGGAGAGGACACCATCCCCGGAGTGGGGAGAACTGGAAGCCTGTGGGGTTTCCCACCCTGAACGAGGGGGCTGCATCGTCTTCAGGAAATCCTGCTTCTGGGCCTCCCAGTGCTGCTGCGGCTGCCCCTCCTCTGCCTCCTGCTTAATTTGACATAAATCTGCCCGAGGCAGAAGATCCCTGATGGCCCCAACTTGGCCGGCAGGAGGTTTCTTTCCTTTGCACTCCAGTCTCTGCCTTTGAATGGGTCTCCTGGGTCCCGGCTCTTCCATTTTTACGTCACCCTGCTGGAAAAGAAATAAACACAAAGTAAAATACAACACAAGAATAAAAACAAAAGTACATTTTTTAACATTAGCCAGTTTTTGAAATATATTATTACTCTTTCTATTTCTGATGTTCAGGCTGTGAATGACAATCATTATGTCACCCAAATGACTCCACCCAGGGACGAGGGGAAGTTATCCAAAGACTGGGGGAAACATCAAGGTTTATGGAAGTAGAAATAATATTTGGGGGGGGGGGAGGGAACCAAGGCAGTGGAAGGAAATCCAAAAACAACTCAGTGAGAGGACTGAGCATGTTCAGTGGACAGGGAATGCTGATCCTGGCTGCAACTTCTAGCATGCTGGAAAGGCAGCAACAGATCTTTGTATATGATTAAGGCTGCGACACACCCACTTAACACTTAAAGTACTTGATAATCATATAATTCTCAAAAGGAGCTAAATTTTCACAGTCTTACTTATTTTCTTAAAAAACTTCTAAATTTAGTGGTGCTCAGTTGTTTTAGTCTAGCATCTTATTTAGCATTCACTCAAATTACAATACTTTTGTAAATAGTTCTTAAATTTCTTCCAGTCCTCCTCAATCCTCTCTTCTCCCAGGTCACGGATTCTGCCGGTCATTTCAGCCAGTTCCATGTAGTCTATCAGTTGTATCTGCCATTCTTCCAGTGTGGGTAGATCTTGGGTTTTCCAATGTTTTGCGAGAAGTATCCTTGCTGCTGTTGTTGCATACATAAAAAATGTCTGGTCCTTCTTTGCCACCCCTTGGCCGACAATACCCAAAAGGAAAGCCTCTGGTTTCTTAGTGAAGGTATATTTAAATACCTTTTTCAGTTCATTATAGATCATTTCCCAGAACGCCTTCACTTTAGGGCAAGTCCACCAGAGGTGGAAGAACGTTCCCTCGCACTCTTTGCATTTCCAACACTTATTATCAGACAGGTGGTAAATTTTAGCAAGTTTGACTGGGGTCATATACCATCTATAAATCATTTTCATTACATTTTCTTTCAGGGCGTTACATGCAGTAAATTTCAGTCCATTATTCCACAACCTCTCCCAGTCCTCAAACATGATATTATGCCCAATGTCCTGTGCCCACCTTATCATAGCCGATTTAACCGTTTCGTCTTGTGTATTCCATTTCAACAGCAAGTTATACATCCTTGAAAGTACCTTAATCTTTGGTTCTAACAATTCTGTTTCTAGTTTCGATTTCTCCACCTGGAACCCTAATTTCTTATCATTTTTAAAAACTTCTTTGATCTGAGCGTAATGTAACCAATCTCGCACTTTGTCTTTCATTTTCTCTAGACTCTGCAATTTCCATTTGTCTCCATCCTTTTCTAGTATTTCCCAATATTTTGGCCATTTAGCCTCCATATTGGGTCTTTTTCGGGCCTTGGCTTCCAAAGGTGAAAGCCACCTTGGTGTTTTATTTTCCAGCAAGTCTTTATATTTTGACCAGACATTAAACAATGATTTTCTGACAATATGGTTCTTAAAGGCCTTGTTTGCTTTAACCTTGTCATACCATAAATATGCATGCCATCCAAAGGTGTTGTTAAACCCTTCCAAATCCAGCACATCAGTGTCTTCAAGAAGTAGCCAGTCTTTTAGCCAGCAAAACGCTGCGGCTTCGTAATACAACTTTAAGTCTGGCAGGGCAAAGCCCCCTCTTTGTTTTGCATCGGTTAATATCTTAAACTTAATTCTGGGCTTTTTGCCCTGCCAGACAAACTTGGAAATGTCTCTCTGCCACTTCTGAAAGCACTCCGTTTTGTCCAAAACCTGAAGTGTTTGAAATAAGAACAACATCCTTGGCAATACATTCATCTTGATAGCAGCAATTCGGCCTAACAAAGAAAGTTTCAATTTTGTCCAACTATCTAGGTCTCTCTTAATTTCTGTCCAACATTTTTCATAATTGTCCTTAAATAGACCTAGATTTTTTGCTGTTATGTTTACCCCTAGGTATTTCACTTTTTTCACCACATTAAGTTCCATCTCATTCTGAAACCGTTCTGACTCTGTATTAGTCAAGTTTTTCCCCAAAACCTTAGTTTTCTGTTTATTTAATTTAAATCCAGCCACCCGACCAAAGTCATTAATCAGTTGTAATACTCTTTTCGTACTGGGCTCTGGCTTCTGCAAGGTCAAAACCAGGTCATCTGCAAAAGCTTTTAATTTATATTGTTTCTGACCGACCTGAATTCCTTCCACCAACTGATCCCTTCTAATCATGTTCAATAGCACTTCCAGAACCGAAATAAATAACAAAGGGGAAATAGGGCAACCTTGTCGTGTCCCTTTTTCAATTTTAAACTCTTCCATAACCACATTATTAACTATCAGTTTAGCTTTCTGTTCTGAATATATCGCCTCAATCCCATTTTCAAAACCCCGTCCCACTCCCATCTCTTTTAAATTTCCCATCATAAATTTCCAGGAGATATTGTCAAAGGCCTTCTCCGCATCTATAAAAATTAAAACTGCTTTTGTATTTATATCTGTTTGCAAAAGTTCCAAAATGTCAATAATGTTCCTTGTATTAGCAAACAGATGTCTTCCTGGGAGAAAGCCAGCCTGGTCCTTATGAATTACTTCATTTAAAACTTTTTTAAATCTATTTGCCAAAATGTCTGCAAATATTTTGTAATCCACATTTAAGAGAGAGATGGGACGGTAGTTCTTAAGTTGTGTCTTTTCAGCTTCCGACTTTGGTATTAATGTGATAAATGCTTCCTTCCACGACTCCGGTGCCCTCCTCCCCTCCATAATTTCATTGCTGACCTCCATCAAAGGTTGTATCAAATAGTCTTTCAATGTCTTATAGTACTTGGAGGTCAGCCCATCTGGTCCTGGAGATTTGCCAAGTTGCATGTTCTGGATAGCTTGTTCGATCTCCTGTCGTGTTATTTTAGAATTCAGGATTGTCCTATTTTCTTGTGACAATTTAGATAATCCGTTTTTTGCCAAAAATTGTTTAATCTCAACATCATCTTGCGGCCCTTGGGTGTATAATTTTTTGAAGTATCTCTGGAAACACTTTCTAATGTCCACCGGATTCTGGATGTTTTTTCCATCAACCTCTAAGTTTGTAACAGTATTTAATCTTTGTCTTCTCTTCAACTGCCAAGCTAGCAGTTTTCCACATTTATTCGCCGACTCAAACGTTTTTTGTTTCATTAATTTAACCTTCCATTCGATTTCCTGATTTATCAACTTAGAATATTGTGTTTGATAAAGTTTAATTTCTCTCAGAGTTGGCTGTGACTTCGGATTCACTCTTAATTTCTTCTCTAATTCTTTTATTTTATCCAAGATCTTATCTTTTTTCTCATTATGTGTTCTTTTCTTCACTGCATTCTGTTGTATCAAGAATCCCCTCATTACAGCTTTGCTTGCGTCCCAGATTATTCTTTTTTCCACCATATTATTCATGTTTATCTCAAAATAGTCCTTCAAAACTTTTTGGGCCTTCTTGGTAATTTCCTGATCTCTAAACAAATTGTCATTCATCTTCCATCTAAAGGATCCAGTTGGTAATAGTGTCATATCCATCTTTACTGCATTGTGGTCGGAGCAGGTCTTTGGGCATATTTCCACTTTTCTAACCTTAGGTGCCAGGCCTCTAGAAATCCATATTTGGTCGATTCTTGTCCAGGTCAGTTGGGCTTCAGAAAAGAATGTTCCCTCTCTTCCTAGTGGGTTCTTTGTCCTCCAAATGTCAATCAAGTCCATATTGTCAGTCATTTCAAAAAAGGTTTTAGGTAGTCTGCCGTCTTTTGTAACATTTTGACTTTGTGACTTGTCCATGTTAGTTGATACGACCCCATTCATATCTCCCATCATTATGATGTTGTTGTAGTCTAGATAATCCAGCATTGTCTCCTGCAACTTCTTGTAAAATTCCGATTTCCCTTCATTAGGTGCATAAATTCCTAATATCAGCAGTTTCTCTCCTTGATATTGTATCTCAATAGCCAAAATTCTTCCATGTTCATCTTTAAATAGGAATTTAGGTGACAGGCTCTCTTTTGCATATATCACTACGCCTCTCTTCTTAACTTTGTCCGAAGATACAAATTCCTGGCCTAATCTTTTATTTATTAACACTTTTCTGTGGAGCCTCGTCACATGTGTTTCTTGTAAACAAATAATGTCCAATTGTTCTTTTTTTAATATATGAAATATTTTCTTCCTTTTTTCCGGAATGTTACAACCATTAATATTCCAGCTCAACAGTTGCAGAGACATCCTGAATTATCTGGTTATTTTTCAAGGGGTGGTATCTTCTCAGGGTCTTCAGGTTCCACAGATGCTGATGTTGGTATTGGCGTTGCCTCAGGCCCAGAAGGTAGTTCAGTTCTTTTTTGAAGGTCCTCTCCGTGTGTAGACAGGAATTTGTCTCTCTCTTCCAGTGTTCTCACTTTAACCTTTCTCCCTCTAAAGGTAAAAGATAATCCTTGAGGAAATTCCCACCTGAATGGAATTGCGTTGCTCCTTAGTAGTTTAACAAGTTCAGAATAGGCGGTTCTAAGGTCAAGCAGTAGTCTTGGGATATCTTTATAAATTTCAATTCTTCTGTCCAACACCTCCAGTGATTTTACAAAGTGTAATCCCAAAATCTTATCCCTTTCCTCCTTTGATCTCAATGTTATCAAACAGTCTCTGGGCCTCTCCTTCTTTATGAATCTTCCAAGTCTGAAAGCTGACACAATTTTAAAATCCTTTTCTTCCAAGTTCCAGAACTTGGAGAATTCTTTGGTCAAAAACTCAGTTAGATTTCCTTCTTCTGCCTCTTGTAGTGATCTAATCCTTAAGTTGTTCTCACGGTTTCGCAGTTCTATCATCGAGAGATAAATCTGGTGTTCCCCAACTTGTTTAGTGAGTGGTCTTACCTCTTGCTCTAAATTTTCAAATCTTTGCCTGGTGTCCTCAGTCAATTTCCGATTTTCTGCTGAGGCCTCCGTTAGCTGTCCAATTGCTTGTGCATTCTGTGTCACTTGTGTGGTTAATTTATTTAGACATTCTGTATTTTTATCAATCTTTGCTGATTGGGCATCTGCTTTCTTGTCCAAAACTTCCAATTTTTCAAAGATTTTATCTAGTATAGAAGCAGATGCTCCTGAGGCCATATCTTCCAGTTGTAACTGCTCTGCTTCGCCCTCACCCTCCACTTCTGAGGGCAAAGTAGGCACAGATGATCTGCGTGTCTGTGAGGCTGAGGTTAGAGTTGTTAGAGTTGTTTGTTTAGCTCTCCCTCTTTTTCTTGTGCCACTCATTCCAACGTTATCTGTCAGTCAAGGTCACACTGAGTTGTTCCCATGGGAATGGAAAGGTCCAGAGCAAGCAAACAGCAAGGGAATCGAAAGTAAAAAGTGTATGTAAAATCACTGTTATAATCCAATCCTCTAGAGGGAGCTTAATCTATCTTTCAGAGTCTAAATTAATGTCCAAGAACCTTCAAATACAAATGCTTAGCAGAGTTTATAAATGGTTACCTTGTTGCAGACAGTGCTTATTTATCTCCAAAAAGAATGTTTCAAATTTGAAAGGTATCAATACCCTCAGATTGTTTCCAGTTCCAATATACAGTATCCAAATCTGCAGTACTGACAGCTCCCTTAGTACTCAGGCAGCTCCTGACTCTGGGTTTCACCTTTTAATTTGTAATCCAATAAGAGGAGGAAAGTCAAGTACAAATAGAAATCCCAAATCTTTAACTTGAAGTCTTTACTTTAAAATGCAAGTTCAAATAGATGCTTAGATCTGTAAAACTTAGAGTCTCTTTCTTTCAGCCTCCACTCCTCCAGCTGATTGCTTTTTTTCAAGTTCAATGGCTGCGGAAGACGGACTTCCTGCTTCCACGTCTCTCCGCTCACAGCCAAGTTCAAGCCAATTTAAGTTTCCCTTTTAAAGTCTCAAATTTCAAGTGATTCAGTCTTTTACTCACAAATTAGTTGCTTTTTCGTCCGGATCCGTAATTTGGCAGGAAAAGGGATCAGCGCTCACCGACAGCAGCAGCGCGGCTTCGCTCCTCAGGCTGCGAAACAGCTCACAGCGCCGCAACCCCCCTCCGTGCTCCGGAGCCCCTTACGGGGTTCCTTCTGCACTTGGAGGGTCGCTCTAGGCGCCCACCGAGCCTCAAGACCCCAGGCTCTTGCCGCCTGGGGTTTTCCGATGTGGGTCTCCGCTTCGCCGTAGCGGACGACCCGTTGCCTGCGGAGCCTCCTCTCCCGTTCAGAAGAGGACCGCCATTGCCGTTCGCGCCGCCCCCGGAAGAAATATAGAAGGGATATAAGAATTTAAATAAGATGATAAATTGCTGACAAAATGTTTCAACGATGAAAATGGGAGCGGGAGGTGTGAGGAAGTCCAAAGAAAATGTGAAAATATGTTAAGATCGATGTTACATTGTTTATTATGTCTATTTTTATTGTAAAATTTAATAAATTGCTTTAAAAAAAAAAATAACACTTAAAGTACTTGGCTTCACCCAAGAAATCCTGCGAGCTGCAGTTTGTTAGGGGTGTTGAGAACTGTAGCAATAAACTATAGGTCCTGTGGTTCTCTGGGGGAAGCCACGTGCTTTAAATGTATGGTATCTGCACAGCCTAAGAAACTGACAAAAGGAATATTGACCAACAAAATCAAAGAACTCACTCCAAAATATTTTAAATTTGATGGTCACAAACTCTCTTTATTGAAGACATTCTACCTTGCAGTCCATTGGCTGCATATGGCTTGCCAAGCCTCAGGGTGTGTCCTGCTAGTCCCTGCCGTTTCCATCTCCTGATCTGATCATAGGATGAAGATCTCTGTCTGTCCTGGAGAGAAAGATGCCTAAGGGCCCTTAGAGAGATCTTTTCAACTCCAATTTCACCACAAACTAGCACAGTGCTGAAATGGGGTAAAAGCCCTGATCTGGAAATAAATGATCCCTCTGGCTGCTCTTTAAAGAGGATTTCTAAAGAACAATCAGAAGGGTCTTTTTTCCACAGATCTCATTGCTAATTCAGCAGGGTCTTCTTGTGCTCTTATTTTTCCCCACCCCAGAACTGGGGTTGGAAGGTCTAAACATGCTGATTGTGTTTGCAAGACTTGTATGTATGCTAGATGGCATGTCTGGTGAGTGTGTGAGGCACCTCTGGCATGTGTGCATGTGACTTTATGGTCTGCATCTCTTTTCTGTGTGCGCATGCATGTGCATACATTGGCCACAAAGATCACTGGAATGTGGCCTCCAGAATCAATGCAGCTTTAAGCCCATAAATGTTTCGTTCCTCCTGCTCTATTGGAAAGAACAATCAAATCTAAGACTATCAGGAGGAGAGAACTCCTGGATCTACAGATTTAATGTTCTCAACATCCTATGGACACAAACTGCATTGAGATTTCTCTCTAATTACTTTGAGATTTTTTTCTTAAAAATATGAAACATTATAGAAATGAAAGGAATAATAATCTGAACATGAATAGCTAATTTCAATTTCGCCTTCCTCAGTCTTTTACAATACTGTCTTCAACGTTTTTATTATCATTAATTCATTTCCATATGCCACACTTCTTAAGAATCTTCCTTTCCTCTGCATTCTCAAAACTGGCACCCACTTCAACCCTCAGCCTTCATCTGAAAACTCAGCTGTGTTACTGAAGAAGGAGGAAGATAAAACCTTTAACGAAACAGGCTTAAGGCTCTCTCACTTATTTACACGCAGACACAAGAGGTCACCAGCTTTGACAGCTTGGGAAAAGATCAGATGCGTTCTCTGGGGAATAGATCTATTAGCTGTTTTAGTAGCCTTGACAGAACAACAGAACCTCCATGTGTAGGCACAGCGTACCTTGATTTGGGGAAGACAAAAGAAGCCATTTCCTTGCTAAATGAATCTGATGGACATCATTGCCACAAGATGCGGTGATGGTGGTGGCAAAGAGAGCTTTGAAAGGCGATCAGACCAATTCATGAAGGAGGGCGATAGGTTTATCAATGGCACTGGCAGAGGAAGGGGGGGCAGGAGTAGTGGCCTGCAAAGGGTGTCAGGGGGGTGAGAGGGGCACCTCCCTGCTGCACTCCCCCCTGCCTCGCCTTCCCTCTCCGCCGGTGGGAGAGCGTGAGCTTGTGCCTGTGCTGCCGCCCCTGGAACCCACTCATTGCCCTGGCAGCCCCCGCAGGGAGGCAGAAGCAGGAGAGAGGGAGGACCATGGAAGAGGACGGGGCTCCCTGGTGAGGGACAGGAAGACTCACTGACCGACCAGGGAGGTAAAATCCCCAGGTACGCCGCTGATCCATGAGCGACTATATGCATCCTCCATTGCGAAGCAGCAGCTGCCTTGGACCCCTCATTCTGCCCCTTGAGCTCAGCATCGTCTGCAGGACTGAAGGGAGCAGCTCCCCTGGGTCTCCGGCAGGGTCCGTGCCAGCCTGAGCTGGAGATGTTTGTGTTGGGATACTGCCAGGGAGACAAAGTCCATCATGACTCCACGTCGTCTCCGGACGTCCATCGATCTCCCGTAGACACGCAGTATCAGCAATTAGCGACACGAGCTCCAGAAATAGCTTGCCACATTCCAGAGCTGACGAACGCTCTATCAGCAGATAATGCACACAGCGAAAGATGCACGCAGGAGAGCATATTTACAAGTTTATTCAGCGTTGGTCAGAACAAAGAAAAAAACATGACTGCCTGCTTCTGTGTCTCCGACACCCAGAGAGAGACAACAGCTCTATCAAAACAGAAACATCCTGTGAAACAGGAAATACGCAGGCTCTGACACAAACATCCTGCTCCCTTTTAAGGTGGAACGGAAATATCCTAACAGTTTGCCCCTGTGCCCTCCTGCAGATGCCCTGCCCCTGAGCTGCGCCCCTTCCCCTTCCTGCCCGGTTGGGGGGCACCCTGCAGCCTCTGGCTGGACTCGGGGCCTGATCCTGCCAGGCGCACGTGCTCTCCTCCTCCTCCTCCCCCGCTTGCTCCGCCCTCCTGCACCTCGGACTCCTCGCTCAGTCCCTGCAGCGGAATCCGGTTCCTCTCTGGGGAAACTCGCCAGGCCACTGCCCGCTGCTCCTCTGCTCTCCTCCGCGGGGGACAGGAAAGTGCAGCTGCTCTCAAGTCCCTCTGGCTGGCCCCGTTTCCTGCCTCTCTGAGCATCCGAGCTCGCTGGCTGTGGGTTGGGCCCTGGGAGGCTGCAAGGCTGGATGCGCCCCCTTGCAAGGCGAGTGCTGCGAGACCGCCCTGCTGCTTCACCTGCCCTCGTATTTGCAGCCCGCTGCTTCTGATCCTGGAGGTTCTGCTCTTAGCTGTCGGGGCAAATGGATTAACCCTATGAAATCTGGTCCATTCCTAGCTCTGGAGCAGCAGGGAACAAGCTTTTTGCACCCTTCTCTAGGGATGTTCACACGCCGCCATCTGTGTCCCCGTGTACACAAATCACTGAGTTGTCTTATTGTCTTAACTCAGTCGGTAGAGCGTGAGGTGCTTTATCTCAAGGTTGTGATTTCGAGTCCCATGTGAGAAAAAGTGGAAATAAAGTGTAATGTTACCTTGAAATTGTGTACACAATAGTCCGAAGGTTTTTAGAGAAACCCAAAAACTTCCCCTTTCTATACCCTTTCGTTGTCTTCTGTAATAAGTGGGTTCTGTTTAGAAAGCTCTCTCTCAAAATTTATTAGAACATTGGAATGTACCTGGCATTTTATAAGTATGTTGCACAAATAAGTCTCCTTGCGATCAGTATGCAGTCCCTGGTTTCCAAATCCTCTACAGGATTTCATGAAGCTGGGACGATGCCACCCAGCTGCCTGAATGCCTAGCAGCTGGAGGAGGCAGTCCAGTTCCCAACTCTGCTGGCCTAGGTCATGTGATCACTTAGCTCCAGCAACAGGTGCCAGGGCTGGGCTCTGTTATCTTTCCATACCCTCCAACATCTCTCTGATGAAAATAGGGGTGTCCTGTTCCGTAATGATAATTTTACTATTTATACCCCACACATCTTATTAGGTTGCCCCATCCACTCCAGGCAGCTACCAACATATATAAAAACATAAGAAAACATTATAAACATAAGAAAACATTTTAAAAATTCCCTATACAGGATTACCTTCAGACAACTTGGGGGTCACATAACTCCATACCCGCTGGCATCAAATCAGAAACTGACGACAGCTTCTGTAAAGCAGGGACATCCCTGGAAGATAGTGGCACTTGGAGGGTCTGTCTTTCCCTGCTTTTTCCTTTGCTGTCTCTGGTCTCCTGCCTCCATTCAGCAGAGGAGGGACCCTTCATACAGAGAAAGATCGGGGCCACCAGGGCATAGTTGGTGCCTTCAGATGACTGCAGTGAAGGGAGAACCATTTGGAGGAACAGATTGCTGCAATTCTTGGAAAGGAATGGAAAGAGCACGGCTACAACGTGGTTTGGTTCTTCAGGTACTTGTTGTTCAAGTTGTTCCATGGAATTCCTGATCTGGACCTTGTGTGGAAAGGAGTTCTCTCCATCACAAGAATAATTTTTGAAGTTTTACTGGACAACAGTCTTAAACAGTACAACAATAAGATAAGCAAGATAAAGTAGCACGTTGCAAACAATGTTCAGTTCTTTACGTAATCCTGTGAACTTTCCTCTTTCTGGTCCCAGAGGGAGATCCTAAGCTTCTTCATCATTGCATAACTTATTTGCAACTGCTGCTGCTTCTCCTAGCCATCTCCAACAAGCACCCGCTGACTTCTCAAGTTTAAGCTTCCTTCTGTTAGAGCTCTGCAGCTTCTGTTTCCAGCGATGAGTTATTAGGAAAGATACCAGCCTCCTCTGATGCTTTTGTCAGAGTGGAACCTCTTGCCTAAAAGGTTCCACTCTTTCTTCTTCTATGTTTGCTTCATAGAATCATAGAATCATAGTTGGAATAGACCACAAGGGCCATCGAGTCCAACCCCCTGCCAAGCAGGAAACACCATCAGAGCACTCCTGACATATGGTTGTCAAGCCTCTGCTTAAAGACCTCCAAAGAAGGAGACTCCACCACACTCCTTGGCAGCAAATTCCACTGTCAAACAGCTCTTACTGTCAGGAAGTTCTTCCTAATGTTTAGGTGGAATCTTCTTTCTTGTAGTTTGGATCCATTGCTCCGTGTCCGCTTCTCTGGAGCAGCAGAAAACAACCTTTCTCCCTCCTCTATGACTTCCTTTTATATATTTGAACATGGCTATCATATCACCCCTTAACCTCCTCTTCTCCAGGCTAAACATGCCCAGCTCCCTTAGCCGTTCCTCATAAGGCATCGTTTCCAGGCCTTTGACCATTTGGGTTGCCCTCCTCTGGACACGTTCCAGTTTGTCAGTGTCCTTCTTGAACTGTGGTGCCCAGAACTGGACACAGTACTCCAGGTGAGGTCTGACCAGAGCAGAATACAGTGGCACTATTACTTCCCTTGATCTAGATGCTATACTCCTACTGATGCAGCCCAGAATTGCATTGGCTTTTTTAGCTGCCGCGTCACACTGTTGGCTCATGTCAAGTTTGTGGTCAACCAAGACTCCTAGATCCTTTTCACATGTACTGCTCTCAAGCCAGGTGTCACCCATCTTGTATTTGTGCCTCTCATTTTTTTTGCCCAAGTGCAATACTTTACATTTCTCCCCGTTAAAGTTCATGTTGTTTGTTTTGGCCCAGTTCTCTGCTTCATATGCCACAATGTTCTCTCTTTTTCTCAAATGCTCCAGGCGACCACAAATGAGTGTCGAAAGAGAAACCAAAAGCTCAGAGTTGGGATGGGGGGGAGGCGTGAATATCAGGTTGCCTTTTAATATGAGAAAAGACTAAAAATGCATTCTAAAGGGTTTCTTTAGAAGCAGAACAAGCATTTTATTTTATTTTAAATAACAGAGAAATGAGGCCCAATTCTTAGTGCTCATCCCAGGTTAAAGATTAGCAGCCACACCCTCACAAAAAGCTATGAGGATTTTGTTAGCAAGTGTCAAGGTGAATTCCTACCTTGTATTCCTGAGCTGCCTCTTCCTTGAGAACCACAGTTCTCACTAATAAGGGAGTCCTATGCTGCCTATAGCCAGCCCTGGTCAGCAATGTGTCTGCAGCTCTTTGAGCCAGCTGAACTTTCTGAGCACTTTTCAAAGGCAGCCCCATGTAGAGTGTGTTACAGTGACCCCTACACAATGGGGCACCAGACTGCCTCTTGGGGGGGGGGTAAATTATCTCTTCTAAACGTGTGTTTGTGTGTCTGTCTCTTTCTGTGTTTGTGTCTCTTTCTGTGTGTGTGTGTGTGTGTGTGTGTGTGTGTGTTGTTTAAATTCTCTGAATGCTTGTTTTTTGAGACGGGGCTCTTAGGGTCATGAAGCAATGCCTTTCAACTCAGCTGCATAACATTGATTGCGCCCTCACACTGCTCCTTCTGGTGCGGGGATTTTGATCCAGAAAAGGAGCAGACAGGGAAAGGTTAAGCAGAATTCCCCCCCGGGTCACCCTTAGGTGTGCTCAGCCTTCACCTGCTTCATGACTCCACCTTGCATGAGAAGGCAGGATGGAGCTGCAGGAAACAGGAAGTGGTCCTTCAACCGGCCAGGACATCTCACCATCACAGACAGATCTAGTCTCCTGCTGGGGAGTCAAGAGTGGCCCTGGGATGGCAGAGAGAGGAGGGGAAGGGGCCAGGGACAAAAGGATGGTAGGCTCTAGATGCTCCCTTGGACCCCTTCCTTGACACCAAGGGGAGCTCCTCTTCTGGGGCTGAAAGCATTGCCATGGAGGTTTCATTTTTGTTATGATTGCAAGGAAAGAAGGGAAGGTAAAACCACCCCCCCCCACACACACAAACACAAAGAACTGAATGAAAATAGCCCTGTCTGAGCGATTAGCTACTGTAGAGCATAATGTGGGGTTTAGCTGTGATGCTCACCTGCCTCCCTGGTTGAGTCTTTTCTTGGGGTCAGGGAGCTGGGGAGCAACATGAGGTTCCCAGGTTACATTTCCTTCTGGTCAGCTATTCCAGCTCTTGTCTGCTCCCCATTTCTTTATGGAGGGGCAAAGGCTATGCACTTTGTATAGATGCAACTATAACCAACAACTGGTGTCTTCTGGGTGCATTGAGCTCCTCCCCCCCGCCTTCTCTCCTCCAGATATAATACAGATTTCCTCATGATCTTGCCCCACCCTCCAGAAGGCAAATATATCCAATTGTTTATTTAGGACATCATTATATTGTATGAAATATCGCCTTGTTTCTCTGAAGGGTAGACTTTTCATGAGCAGTGATAAATATGACATTAATTGGTTACTGAACAACAGCTTCAATGCTGTCAACATGAGCTTTGTCTGAGGTTTCAGACATACCCATTTCATTCAAGAAAGATGCAGAAAATACTTTTCCTTTTTGATTCTGGGCACTTGACTTCTCCCATCCTGCTACCATCATGGCAGACATTTGGGGGTGAGATCCAGGGTCCCCTCAGCATCAGGAGCAACAGGTGGAGGCCCCACAAACATTTGTCACATTTTGAAGGGTTTTTTTTATTAAAAACAAACAAAAGGCTTTTCCTTAGCCTCTCATAGCTCTGAAGTTAGCTCTTGAAAAAGAGAGGGTTGTCAAATAGCATGGCCTCCAAGAATGAAAGCAAACACTTCCAAATTCTTTTTTTGCACACCCAGAGACAGGGGTCAGCAACCTTTTAAAGTTGAGGGCCAGATCACAATAATAAAGTTCCAGGGGTCCCAGTTCTGCACTGCAGCATATCTGTTCCGTTCTGAGAGACCCTCCCAGGGTTCTGGGGTGTGCGAAGCCTTGTTTCCCTGTTTTTAACTCCATTACCAAAAGCGTCTCCCCCTCCAAGATGGGAAAGCGGAGAACACGTATCCTTCTGCAGCAAGCGGTTCCTTATGCAGAAGAATGCGTGTTCTCTGCTGTCCTGTATTGCAGGGGGAGACGCTTTCGGTAGCAGAGTTAAAAACAGGGAAACAAGGCTTCATACACCCCAGAACCCTGGGAGGGTGTCTCAGAACGGAACAGATATGCTGCAGCGGCAGGAGCAGTGAGCCAGTTGAGGGCCGGAGAGGGGCTGCCTTAAATGGTAGCCATCGAGTAATCACGCTGGCACAAACAAAGCCCAGGACCTAGGCTATAGGAGGAGGGAGGGAGGAGGAAAGAACTCTGCAACCAATCAGAGGGAAACAATGCTGCTGGTACCAATCAAAGGCTAGCCCCCTTCCTCCGCAGGGTGGGGGAGAAGCCAGAAGAAGGGACCATCTGCGGGCCGGATCCGAACCCCATTTGGGCCGGAACTAGCCCGCGGGCCTTAGGTTGTGGACCTTTGTTCAGAGACTTCACAGCCATCTTCACTTCACTCCTCAGTCCCTTTCATTAATCTCCCCTAGCCGTAATTCTTTCACACATTACTTTTGATACGGAAGGGGGGGGGGCATGTCTTCTTCACCTCCTTCTTCGCTACAATATATCCATTTATTTCCAATTCTCAATGTCAAAAGGGACTAAAATCTATAAAATTCATAGAAAATCAACGTGCCAATTTGCTCAATTTCTCTAGGACTCCATGACACCTCCCCTGTCCTCCATAATCCCTCAAGCAAGGTGTCAAGACCCTAATCCTGTCAAATCACTCTGCCAAGCCTTTCCTCTGGGCAATGCCAGGTGGCAGACCATGCATACATGGACCATTGTCTTCTCATCAGGTACTCAGGATGTGCTTATCTGCGCATATCTCCAGCTCTGCATAATCCCCCCTCCCTCCTCCGTATGTTAATCCTGTGTAACCCAACCTCTTCTTAATGTATTCATGATGTAATCTGTGTAACCCAACCTCTTCTTAATGTATTCATGATGTAATCTGTGTAACCCAACCTCTTCTTAATGTATTCATGATGTAACTAGGATGTATTTTGCACTGTATTCTGGGACATGGAGGGAAGTTTCAAAAGTTCATGTCACCCCTTTCTCGCTGTTCAATCTCGTCTTGAACCTGTTGCGCAATAAACTTGGATCTTCTGCAGTTTGCTCCTGTCTCCGGCTGAGCTCATTTTCTTCGGCAGGGACCCGCGGACCTAGTCCGACGAGCTGGGTGGCAGAGTAGCCCCGCACCCAGATTTTACCGTAACACTTTAAAACATTTCTGTGAACTAAGAAACACAAAAAAACACCCTCACTGGTCACCTTCCACAGATCAAAAGCCAATGCAGAAAATATTTAATAAAAACAGCTCAAAACAGGAACACAAGAGCACAGAAAAAAGGAGATGAGTTTTAAAAGCAATACCAAATGAACATTTAACACATGGACCTTTCATTCAGCTGGAAAATGCTATCAGTAAAAAGGTCTTCAATAGATGATGCAAAGTTCAAGTAATGAGTGCCTGGAATGCTGATCTACAAGATAAGGGCAGCCCATCATTTTGGCAGTGAAAGGCGGACCTGAAAACTCAACTGGAACTCAAGTGGAACTGGAAGCGTGGAAGGCATTTATTCTGGTAGTGAAGAACTTTTTTGGCAACAATAAGGCCAGAAACTACGCAGAACTTGTCAACAACATGCGGACTGCTTTCAGAAACCTGGGCTGCAACATGAGCGTCAAGATGCTGTCCATTTTCACATATGGACCGGTTTCCTGATAACCTGAGTTCAATGAGTGACAAGCAGGGGGAGAGATTCCATCAGGACATGAAAGAGATGGAGACCAGGTATCAGGGTCGCTGGGACGCAGTCATGATGGCTGACTACTGTTGGACTCTGAAGAGAGACCTCCCTGCCGCTGAGGATCCCAGGAGTTCCAAGAAATGGAAGTTCAAGCCCTGAAGTTTGAAAAATGGTGAACAACATGCAATTTACGTGTACTGCCCACCTAGCAGTTCGAAAGCACCCCCGGGTGCAAGTAGATAAATAGGGACCGCTTACTAGCGGGAAGGTAAACGGCGTTTCCGTGTGCGGCTCTGGCTCGCCAGAGCAGCTTCGTCACGCTGGCCACGTGACCCGGAAGTGTCTGCGGACAGCGCTGGCTCCCGGCCTATATAGTGAGATGAGCGCACAACCCTAGAGTCTGTCAAGACTGGCCCGTACGGGCAGGGGTACCTTTACCTTTTTACCTTTATCAGTGCCCACCATTCAGTTTACAGTAATCGATGTTTCTATCAGGTAATCAATATATGTTGTTGGAAAAACATTTTTATCTCTTAAAAACATATTTAGGATGATATGTGTTGTCAAAAATCAGCTGATAATGCCACAAAAATGTAATTGATTTTGTCACAAGATCTGATTTTTTTCAAATCAACATAGCACAAAAACCTGACCTGATGGAGAGAAACGGATGCCATTTCCTGATTCAGCAGTGCAAAAACACCCTAAATCAGTTGTAGAAATCTAGACAACATTCAAAAAGTAAAAAATTGTTGCCCAGTGTAATTGTTAGGGCAAATGAGGACAAGGAAACAGGCATAAAACATCCGAATAAAATACAAGATTAAACACAGATAATGGATGGATAAAAAACTAATAATTAAAACAGATGAGAGCTAAAAACCAACAAAGACTCGCAGATAACACAACTATAAGAGGCTACAGAGTAGAAGCCTCTTAAATAGAGGACACTCACAACGTTAAAAACTGCTGTGCAAATACGGTTAAAACAGACAGTTAAAACAATATACAACACTAAATTTAGAAACAACGTACAACAATAAACTATCCCAGGAAGTTGACTCAGAATCACCCATGGAACTGTGTTTGGGCTTTTCATGCCAGACTATTTTGAGTTGGGCGATGGTCTGCGCCTACAGAAATGTACACAGAATCTGGCGACCATCCAGGTCATCTTCTGATCTTTGCCCAACAGCAAAAGGTCAAATTATTGCTTTTGTGGGAAGTCGGCGAGCCTCACCAGTAGGGGATCCATGATCTTACTACGTGCCTCTTTATAAAAGGGACATCTAAAGAACAAGTGTTCTGGGCTTCCTATCTCTCCCAATGGACAGGTGCAAAGTCTCTGAGCATACGGGACCCTTCTAAAGGCTCCATCCAGGACCGGCGAGGGAAGAGCTGAGCTTCTGGCGAGTGTAAAGGCCCTTCTTGCATCCCTAGATACGAGAAAGAAGAGATATGCTGCCAGTGCGGCTATATCTCTCTCGATTTCTCCAATTCTATAGTTGGGGCACCTCGCACAGTCCTGCTGTCTCTCAGTGTCTAATATTCTTTGCCTGACCGTAACTTTTGCCTGGTCCAAGCCCAGACTTAGAAGGGCTTGAGGGGCAAAACCCAATTTCCGGAGGGTGTTCAGGACTGCAGTCTGCCAGCCGGGCTGGAATTGGTCTCAGAGGATCAATGGGGCTATCCCTCGGGGGAGCAGGTTCAATATCAGCCATTTGTAAATTGATGTTAGGCAGATGCTAGCCTCCACTCTCATCATCCCCGTTTCCAATCTAACCCATGCGTTTGAGACACATCTGGGGACATCTGGAGGAGAGCTCTAAGAAGTCTGGATTGAACTCTCTCAAGTGGGGAGAAAGCAGAGGAAGGCGGGTCCAAAAAGGAACCATAGAGGAGTTGTGCCAAAGTTTTGGCCTTGTATAATTTTAGAGCTGCGGGGACAAAGAAGCTCCCTTGTGCTCTGAAGAATTTAAGGATACAATTTGCGTTTCCCCCCCGCTGAACTCCCGGTGGAGTTTATGTGTAATTTGTTGGTTCCTGAGGCCTGTACCACCATTCCTAGATACTTGTAGTTTGTGGCTTGTTCTAATTTATGGCCTTGGAGTTCCCAGCTTCTAAGCTTTGGTTTTCCCCCAAAAGCGAGTATCTTGGTCTTTTGATAGTTGATTTTGAGACGTTCAGATTCGCAGTATGCTGCGAGCTTTCTTAGTGCTCTTTTGAGTCCAATGGGGGTTCTAGATAGAATTACCGCATCATCGGCATATAGCAGGACCGAAATATGCCAATTTGCAAGCTTCGGGGGGTGGGGGTGGAGTTCTGAGTCATTGAGTGCAGATACTAAGTTATTTAGATAGAAATTAAATAGTAGAGGGGCCAATAGGCACCCTTGCCTGACGCCTTTGAAGGTTTTTATTGGGTCCGTTAGGTGTCCTAGGCGGCAGCACCTGACTCTAAGAGCCATGTTTGCGTGCAGTGCCTGAATTAGGAGCAGGAGCCTTCTATCTATATTGGTACCCTGTAGTCTGTCCCAGAGTCTGGTTCTGGAGACTGTATCAAATGCTGCTTTTAGGTCGACGAAGGCCACGTATAGTGAGGCCTGCCCTCCTGATTTGTATTTGTCGATGAGATGTTGTAACGTTAGACAATGATCTATCGTGGACCTTCCGGGTCTGAAGCCTGCTTGTTCTATTGCCAGAATATCTTCATTCTCTAGCCATTCTGTAAACTTATTAAGGAGGTGCTTTGAGTAGTTTACTAATCACACTTAATAAGCTAATCGGTGTATAATTTGCTGGGTCCCCTCTGTTGCCCTTTTTATAGATTGGGACTATTATGGCTGTTCCCCATTCCCTTGGGATGCGGCCAGTGTCATCTATGTAAGTGAAGAGGTTGGCTAAGAAAGGTGCCCACCAATCTACCTGTGCTTTTATCACTTCTGGTGTAATGCCGTCTGAGCCTGGGGCTTTGACTGTTTTCAGTTGGTTTATATATGATTTCACTTCAGTTATTGAAACTGGAGGCCATTTAGCCAGTTGTTCTATATTATAATTCCATAGTGGAGGTTCAGCATCCTCGTACAAAGATTGGAAGAATGAGACCCAAAGGCTAGGGGGAATTTGTGAGGTTAAGGGTGAAAAAGCTTTATGGGTGCCAGAAGCTACCAGTTTCCAGAATAGTGTCTGATCTTTTGCTTTTGCCGCACTAATTAATTCTAGCCAACATTTTCTGGTATAGGCATTCTTTTGGTGGAGTATTAGGTCTTTATACTCTTTTAGGGCACGGACAGCAAGATAGGCTTGATATCTGATAGAATTTTCAGCTGTCAGGGCAGCTTTGTAAGCATTTTGCAGGGCTTTCTTTGCCTCAAAGCAGGAATACACCTGTAATTTTCATCGTGTGTGTGTGTTAGCTGATGTCTTCTAAGGTGTTCATTTTTACTGAAACTCTTTCCACACTCCATACATTTAAATGGCTTCTCCCCTGTGTGAGTTCGTTGGTGTATTCTAAGTGATCCACTATAACTAAAGCTCTTTCTACATTCAATACATTTAAATGGTTTCTCCCCCGTGTGAGTTCGTTGGTGTATTGTAAGTTCTCTATTCGTACTGAAGCTCTTACCGCACTCCATACATTTAAATGGTTTCTCACCCGTGTGAGTTCGTTGATGTATTCTAAGATGTCCACTTTGACTGAAGCTCTTACCGCACTCCATACATTTAAATGGTTTCTCACCCGTGTGAGTACGTTGGTGTATTCTAAGATGTCCACTTTGACTGAAGCTCTTACCACACTCCATACATTTAAATGGTTTCTCCCCCGTGTGAGTTCGTTGATGTATTCTAAGTGATCCACTATAACTGAAGCTCTTTCTACATTCAATACATTTAAATGGTTTCTCCCCCGTGTGAGTTCGTTGGTGTATTGTAAGTTCTCCATTCGTACTGAAGCTCTTACCGCACTCCATACAATTATATGGTTTCTCCCCTGTGTGAGTTCGTTGGTGTATTCTAAGTTTCCCACTTTCACTGAAGATCTTTCTACATTCAATACATTTAAATGGTTTCTCCCCCGTGTGAGTTCGTTGATGTATTGTAAGTGCTCCATTCGTACTGAAGCTCTTACCGCACTCCATACATTTAAATGGTTTCTCCCCCGTGTGAGTTCGTTGATGTATTCTAAGTTTCCCACTTTCACTGAAGACCTTTCTACATTCAATACATTTAAATGGCTTCTCCCCCGTGTGAGTTCGTTGATGTATTGTAAGTGCTCCATTCGTACTGAAGCTCTTACCGCACTCCATACATTTAAATGGTTTCTCCCCCGTGTGAGTTCGTTGATGTATTCTAAGTTTCCCACTTTCACTGAAGATCTTTCTACATTCAATACATTTAAATGGTTTCTCACCTGTGTGAGTTCGTTGATGTATTCTAAGATTTCCACTTTGACTGAAGCTCTTACCGCACTCCATACATTTAAATGGTTTCTCACCCGTGTGAGTTCGTTGATGTATTCTAAGTGCTTGACTATGACTAAAGCTCGTTCCACACTTCATACATTCAAATAGTATGTCTCCTTTGTGAGATTGTTGTTGTATCCTCAGTTTCTTTCTTCTTCCCAATAAATTCACATGTGGCTCCATAGAATTCTGACCTTCATCTTCCTCACCTGTTTGGGAGTCTGGGAGGAAAGAGAATCCTGTTAGACTTTCAGGAAAGACAAAAAAGGAATTGAACACCTGTCAATCCCAATCTGCACCTTCTCTCATTTTCACACAGTCTCCATTCTCCACTGTCCTCTCTATGTTCCAAATTTTTTGGAAAGCAGATGAGATAATGGCAGGAGCAACACATGATCACTGCATTCACACTTAATAAAGCACCATCATTTTATAATACAAATCTATGGTGGAATTGGCTTATTAGACACATCTCTGTATTTTTCCGTTTCAAGTGAGGAAATGATCTCAGGCTCAAGTAACAGTGTCTCCATTGTGAAATAAGTAAAACTTAAGTGCTACATTTAACTGTAAAAATATTGCAATATATTGGAACCTAGGAAGAGCCTGCTGGATCAGGCAAAGGCCCACCTAGTCCAGCATCCTCTTCTCACAGAGGCCAACCAGATGCCTGTGGGAAACCGGCAAGCAGGATTGGAGCACAAGAGTCTTCTCTGCCTTCGTGTGCTTTCCAGACACTAGTATCAAGAAGCATTATTGCCTAGGACCACGAGGGCAGAGCAGAGACGTCAGTCTTATCCTTTTTTTCAAGCTATCCAAGTTGCTGGACATCACTGTCTCCTGTAGGATGGAAGTCCATAGATGAACTATGCTTCTGTTTTTTTCATCTTTTGCAGCCCTTAAAAGCTGATAAAGGTATTATGGCCTAAGCTTTTGTGGGCTGCAGTCTGACAAAGTGGAATTTTGAGTAGGATACGTGGTGCCACAGGGACGTGGGGACAGGTGAGGCTGCTGATCCCTTATTTTCAAATCTGAAAGTTGACAGCTATGAACCAGCATGTTTAGATCTTCCATCCCCAGTGCTGGGGTGGGGAAAAATAAGAGCACAAGAAGACCCTGCTGAATTAGCAATGAGATCCATGAAAAAAGACCCTTCTGATTGTTCTTTAGAAATCGTCTTTAAAGAGCAGCCAGAGGGATCATTTATTTCCAGATCAGGACTCCTATCCCATCTCAGCACTGTGCTGGTTTGTGGTGAAATTGGAGTTAAAGGATCTCTCTAAGGGATCTTTAAGGGACGCGAGTAGCGCTGTGGTCTAAACCACAGAGCCACGGCTTGCCGATCAGAAGGTCGGCGGTTCGAATCCCCGTGACAGGGTGAGCTCCCGTTGCTCGGTCCCTGCTCCTGCCAACCTAGCAGTTCAAAAGCATGTCAAAGTGGAAGTAGATAAATAGGTACCGCTCCGGCGGGAAGGTAAACGGCGTTTCTGTGCGCTGCTCTGGTTCACCAGAAGTGGCTTAGTCATGCTGGCCACATGATCCGGAAGCTGTACGCCGGCCCCCTCAGCCAGTAAAGCGAGATGAGCGCCGCAACCCCAGAGTCATCCGCAACTGGACCTAATGGTCAGGGGTCCCTTTTCCTTTACCTGGTGCCACTATAAACCTCTGAGTCTCTTTGTTGGCTTTGTGTACTTATTTTGAAATTTGTACCAAGGTTGTACCACAGTATCTCCATAGAAGCTTAAAGGTAAAGATAAAGGTACCTCTGCCCGTACGGGCCAGTCGTGTCCGACTCTAGGGTTGTGCGCCCATCTCACTTAAGAGGCCGGGGGCCAGCGCTGTCCGGAGACAGGTGGCCAGCGTGACGAAGCTGCTCTGGCGAGCCGGCACCAGCGCAACACACGGAAACGCCGTTTACCTTCCCGCTATAAAGCGGTACCTATTTATCTACTGGCACTTAGGGGTGCTTTCGAACTGCTAGGTGGGCAGGAGCTGGGACCGAAAGACGGGAGCTCACCCCGCCACGGGGATTCGAACCACCGACCATGCGATCGGCAAGCCCTAGGCGCTGAGGTTTTACCAACAGCGCCACCCGCGTCCCACTGCCACCCGCGTCCCACCCATAGAAGCTTAGGGACAGACAAAATTACAAGGGTGCTATAAATTATTATCCCACTCACTCACTCTCACAAACAATCCCGGTATGTTAGATTGGCAAGTTTACACAATTTGCTTCTAATACCAGACGCTCTTGGACTTTATATGTCCAATCCTAAGTGTAGAGCCTCCAGCCACAGGAATTGTGTATCATGATAACGGGTCCTTTGTCCCTTAAGTCCACCAAACTGGGGAGCTGCATGCATTTAATTTGATACTGGTGGAATGTATCACCTTGACCCTGTCTATAAAAAATAAGGGTAATAGATTAATTATAAATAATTATGGGAAGCATTTCCATTCCCCTTCACCCGTTTTTCAGGATTGGTGTGCCACATCATTATCATCAATTATTCCTGCTGGGGAAATAACATCTAAGATTTAAAAGCCTGGAGGAAGAAAAGCTGCTTTGGAGAAGGCCTCACCCCTTCCTTCTTACGTTCAGGAACTTCCTTCCATTTGTCTCCTCTCCATCTTTTCCTCTTTCTCCCTCCACCATTCATCTACCCCTGTCCCCATCTCCTCTCCACTGTAACTCACCAGATTTCTCCAAGGGTCCTGGGACGGAATGCTCAGAGGTTGTGGGGAGGGATGCGGGAGACAGCCTGACCAGGTCACCCGTCCATCTTTCTCGTTCCATCCTGGCCAGGGTTGCAGGTTCAGTCTCAGCTAGGTTTGCAGGTTCAGCTTCCTGAGGAGCGCAGAATCCAGAGCAAGTTGCAGCTTCCTGGGAGGGAGAGAAGAAGCAGCCAAGGGAGTCGGAGAGCTCCTGCAGGGATTCTCCTGCCCAAGACATTCTGCTGCCCTTGGAGAAGCCCCAATTGGGCACCCCCTTCCCAAGAGCCTCCACCCATTTTCAAACACCGTTGCCAATTCCTTTCACCTCCCTGTCCCACCTCCCTTCCTAAGGCTGGCATGGTATGTACATTAGCGGCCTGAGAGTAGGTCCCTTGGAACTTAAGAGTTAATCTGCAAAGGACTGCTCTGAATACATGGGTGGCCCTTGCAGGGAGAAGAAGGAAGCCCCTTGCTTGCATCTGGACCCCCTGGGAGAGGCGGGGATCCGCCCACTGCTCCCTCTGCCCTCGCTGCCGCCTCCTCTATCCTCCTGCCCTGCAAACACCCTTTGCTCTTGTTCCTCAGGGGAGAGAGGCGGCTGGTGGAAAGAGCCTTCAAACCCATCCGTTTCCTCCACTGCTCCCCCTCCTGTCCTTTCGGGAAACAGGAACTTTGGTCAGGAGTAAACAACCTAGATGGCAAGTTTGCAAGAGAAGCACTTTAAAGCACTGCTTGCTCCTACTATGTGTGTGTCTGTGTGTGTTTGGACCTAGAGGACAACATACATGTTTACACCACGTGATTACTTAAAGAGGGCAATTCTTTAAAACTGAAGGCCATTTCTACAAAATGGAAGACTTCCGAAGGCAGCCTTTTACAAGGAAATTTTTGATGGTTTTTATTTTGTTGGAAGCTACCCAGATGGGCAGAGGCAACCCAGTCAGATAGGCAGGATGCAAATAATAATAACAATAACAATAATAATAATAATAATAATAATAATAATAATAATTGCTTCCTAAGCCTGTCCTGGGACTCGGGTGGCGCTGTGGGTTAAACCACAGCACCTAGGACTTGCCGATCAGAAGGTTGGCGGTTCGAATCCCCGTGACGGGGTGAGCTCCCGTTGCTCGGTCCCTGCTCCTGCCAACCCAGCAGTTCGAAAGCACGTCAAAGTGCAAGTAGATAAATAGGTACAGGTCCGGTAGGAAGATAAAGGGCGTTCCCATGCACTGCTCTGGTTCGCAAGAAGCGGCTTAGTCATGCTGGCCACATGAACCGGAAGCTGTACGCTGGCTCCCTCAGCCAATAAAGCGAGATGAGTGCCACAACCCCAGAGTCGGTCACGACTGGACCTAATGGTCAGGGGTCCCTTTACCTTTTTAAGCCTGTCCTGCTAGGCATGCTGATCAGAGACTCTGTCCAAACAACCCCTTCAAATGCAACAGGGCTTCCTATTTTTACTGCTATCAGTGGGATCAGTCAAACCACGAAGCCACTGATCAACCAGAGTTTCCTGTTTTGACCAAGCACAGTTTGAAGTTAGATTAATCTCCCAGCTTGTTCCAAAGCTGGCAGCTGTAGTTTCCTGGTTTGGGCAAAATGGAAAGTTTACTAGTTATGGCTCATAAGAGACTGCCTGGTTTCATCACAGTTCACCCTCAGGGCCGGCCCAATCATGAGGTAAGCTGGGACAATTAGGTCAGGAGGCAGATGCAGGGAGATACGGGACTAGCACATTCCCAGCTCCCCTGTTTGTTAGCCTTGCTGTCAGTGCAGGACCACAGCTGGTAAATTTGTGCAACTACCAATGTAGAGTCCTTTTCTTTTGCCCTCTCTCACTAAAGGTTGGGTGGGGGTCCTTCCTGGAGTGATGCATTCTGGTTGTGGGGGCCAGGAGACTGGGGTGGCGGCTAGAGTTTTTGGTTTTAAACTTGGGTCAACTTAGGTTTTATTGTAACTTTGCTGCAGCAATGCATTAAAAACTGTTCCTATTTTTAACCCGGCTTTTCAGGCTGTGATTCAGTCATCTGAACCTGGCCATTATCTTAATAAATCTTGCAACAACATTGCAAGGTAGGCCAGTCTTATTTAATGTGACTACACATGGGATTGCTGAGGCTGTAAGATGTGCCAAGATTTTTACCTCAGTGGGGAGAAAAGAGCATTTTGGAAATGGAGGCAATTTAGAGGAGGAAAATGGGGTTTGGTGGAAGGACCCCTCTTCTGACACAGCTTCTGCTCTGATAAAATTCAGAGTCCCCTGCAGCTGTTTAAGTAAAGTAAGAATAGCAGGAGATATGATCGCAAACCTCCCATGTAAGGTTTGGTCCAGAAAGCCTTTTTAAACTGGATTAGAGAGAAAGTGCAGGGAGGAGGAATATTCACCACCATAGCTAAACCATAGCCACCATGTCTAGAGGCAGTGGACCGGTGACCTCCAGGTGCTGGAAACCCAGGTGAGAGGAGGGCACTTACTTTTCCCAGAAGCCCCTCAGTGTCTGGGAGCAGGGTCTGGTCTGTCCCCCCTGCTCTCCCACTGGGCCACCGACTGGCATCCGCAGCTCCCCTGAAGGAGAGGACACCATCCCCGGAGTGGGGAGGACTGGGAGCCTGTGGGGTTTCCCACCCTGAACGAGGGGGCTGCATCGTCTTCAGGAAATCCTGCTTCTGGGCCTCCCAGTGCTGCTGCGGCTGCCCCTCCTCTGCCTCCTGCTTAATTTGACATAAATCTGCCCGAGGCAGAAGATCCCTGATGGCCCCAACTTGGCCGGCAGGAGGTTTCTTTCCTTTGCACTCCAGTCTCTCCCTTTGAATGGGTCTCCTGGGTCCCGGCTCTTCCATTTTTACGTCATCCTGCTGGAAAAGAAATAAACACAAAGTAAAATACAACACAAGAATAAAAACAAAAGCACATTTTTTAACTATTAGCCAGTTTTTGAAATATACTATTACTCTTTCTATTTCTGATGTTCAGGCTGTGAATGACAATCATTATGTCACCTGTCGGAGCCAGCCGTTACAAATGGCGCAATTTAGCATAAAATAAAGACACAGAGAGCCAGCAATATTTTCATGATGGTAGGAGCAGCTCCTTTCCGAACTTCCCTCTCCTCCTGCAGCTTCTTTTATTATCCTTTGTCTCTCTCCAGCCGCATGGCTGTTTGCCAATGTCTCACGTTACCTCATCCGGTCAAGGCTTTTAGGCTTTTATTGCCCCCTTCACCATATAGGGTCATCACTGCCCAGAGGAAACACAACTCCAATACATTCCAATACATTGTAAAGCTCAGAGTGCTGGTCAGCCGAGGTCAGGGGGCACCCTGCAATATTACAAGCCTTTACTGTGGCTTTATGACTCCCACAGTCACCCAAACGACTCCACCCAGGGACGAGGGGAAGTTATCCAAAGACTGGGGGAAACATCAAGGTTTATGGAAGTACAAATAATATTTGGGGGTGGGGGAACCAAGGCAGTGGAAGGAAATCCAAAAACAACCCAGTGAGAGGACTGAGCATGTTCAGTGGACAGGGAATGCTGATCTTGGCTGCAACTTCTACCATGTTGGAAAGGCAGTAACAGATCTTTGTATATGATTAAGGCTGCAACAGACCCACCTAACATTTAAAGTACATGGCTTCACCCAAGAAATCCTGCGAGCTGCAGTTTGTTAGGGGTGTTGAGAACTGTAGCAATAAACTACAGGTCCTGTGGTTCTCTGGGGGAAGCCACGTGCTTTAAATGTATGGTATCTGCACAGCCTAAGAAACTGACAAAAGGAATATTGACCAACAAAATCAAAGAACTCACTCCAAAATATTTTAAATTTGATGGTCACAAACTCTCTTGACTGAAGACATTCTACCTTGCAGTCCATTGGCTGCATATGGCTTGCCAAGCCTCAGGGTGTGTCCTGCTAGTCCCTGCCGTTTGCATCTCCTGGTCTGATCATAGGATGAAGATCTCTGTCTGTCCTGGAGAGAAAGATGCCTAAAGGGCCCTTAGAGAGATCTTTTCAACTCCAATTTCACCACAAACCAGCACAGTGCTGAAATGGGGTAAAAGCCCTGATCTGGAAATAAATGATCCCTCTGGCTGCTCTTTAAAGAGGATTTCTAAAGAACAATCAGAAGGTTCTTTTTTCTTAGAGCTCATTGCTAATTCAGCAGGGTCTTCTTGTGCTCTTATTTTTCCCCACCCCAGAACTGGGGTTGGAAGGTCTAAACATGTTGTTTGTGTTTGCAAGACTTGTATGTATGCTAGATGGCATGTCTGGTGAGTGTGTGCAGCACCTCTGGTGAGTGTGTGCATGTGACTTTATGGTCTGCATCTCTTTTCTGTGTGCGCATGCATGTGCATACATTGGCCACTGTGATAGAGATCAGCACAGGAAAGCCAACCTGGAACCATTTTGATTCCTAAACTGAGCAAATGTTTCTCTACATGGTAAAAATGGAAAAGCCTCCCCATTGTCTCTTCCTTCACAAATCCTGTCTTAATCTGTGTTTGAATAAGGGTGTGAGCCTTATCATTACAAAAGACTGCCAAGGCTCCCCAAGAAATCCAATCAAGTAACCTGCCAGACAGGAAATAAACAAAGCGACAGGAGAAAACAACATGCAAATGTTCTGTTTTAGACTGCCTTATCTGACGGGTGGTCTTAGGTTACACCCCTTCTGTGATGAATGCATAATGTTTCTGGGGGTGGTCTTGATCTAGAGGATGGGAATTTCAAAAGTCTTTATAAGCCCTTGCATAGCATTTTTGTGGGTCCTCTTCCTCTCCTGCGTGTGAGGAGGACCCTGTTGCAACAGATCAATAAAGATCAAGCTTACTAGCTGCTTTGCTTCTCAATATTCTCTGGTTGGCCTCTGTTATTTTCTCCTACCAATAGGGAACCTATGTAAGGACTCTATATGGGCTCTTGGATACCCCATAAGGGAAAAGGGCATATTTTTATTTACAACACCACAAAGCTCACTGGAATGTGGCCTCCAGAATCAATGCAGCTTTAAGCCCATAAATGTTTCGTTCCTCCTCCTTTATCAGAAAGAACAATCAAATCTGAGACTATCAGGAGGAGAGAACTGGATCTACAGAGTTAATGTTCTCAACATCCTATGGACATAAACTGCAACGAGATTTCTCTCTAATTACTTTGTTTTTTTCCTTAAAAATATGAAGCAGTATAGAAATGAAAGGAGTAATAATCTGAACATGAATAGCTAATTTCAATTTCGCCTTCCTCAGTCTTTAACAATACTGTCTTCAATGTTTTTATTATCATTAATTCATTTCCATATGGCACACTTCTTAAGAATCCTCCATTCCTCTGCATTCTCAAAACTGTCACCCACTTCAACCCTCAGCCTTCATCTCAAAACTCTGCTGTATTACTGGGCAAGGAGGAAGATAAAACCTTTAACGAAACAAGCTTAAGGCTCTCTCACTTATTTACACGCAGACACAAGAGGTCACCAGCTTTGATAGTTTGGGGAAAGATCAGATGCGTTCTCCGGGGAAAAGATCTATTAGCTGTTTTATTAGCTGTGACAGATCAACAGAGCCTCCATGTGTAGGCACAGTGTACCTTGATTTGGGGAAGACAAAAGAAACCATTTCCTTGCTAAATGAATCTGATGGACATCATTGCCACAAGATGCGGTGATGGTGGTGGCAAAGAGAGCTTTAAAAGGCGATCAGACCAATTCACGAAGGAGGGCGATAGGTTTATCAATGGCACTGGCAGAGGAAGGGGGGGTCAGGAGGGGCTGTAGAGTGAGAGCCCCCACCCCCGCTGCAGTGCTCTTCCATTCCCCCTGCCTCCCCTTCCCTCTCCGCCGTGGGGAGGACCGTCGAAATAGGCTGGGCTCCCTGATGAGGGACAGGGAGAGGGGAGGCAAAAGCCCCAGGTACGCCGCTGATCATGGGACGACTATATGCATCGTCCATCGCGGAGCAGCAGCTGCCTTGGACCCCTCATTCTGCCCCTTGAGCTCAGGACTGAAGGGAGCAGCTCCCCAGGGTCTCCGGCAGGGTCCGTGCCAGCCTGAGCCAGAGATGTTTGCCCCTGTGCCCTCCTGCAGATGCCCTGCCCCTCAGCTGCGCCCCTTCCCCTTCCTGCCCGGTTGGGGGGCGCCCTGCAGCCTCTGGCTGGACTCCGGGCCTCATCCTGCCAGGCGCACGTGCTCTCCTCCTCCTCCTCCCCCGCTTGCTCCGCCCTCCTGCACCTCGGACTCCTCGCTCCGTCCCTGCAGCGGAATCCGGCTCCTCTCCGGGGAAACTCGCCAGGCCACTGCCCGCTGCTCCTCTGCTCTCCTCCGCGGGGGACAGGAAAGTGCAGCCGCTCTCAAGTCCCCCTGGCTGGCCCCGTTTCCTGCCTCTCTGAGCATCCGAGCTCGCTGGCTGTGGGTTGGGCCCTGGGAGGCTGCAAGGCTGGATGCGCCCCCTTGCAAGGCGAGTGCTGCGAGACCGCCCTGCTGCTTCACCTGCCCTCGTATTTGCAGCCCGCTGCTTCTGATCCTGGAGGTTCTGCTCTTAGCTGTCGGGGCAAATGGATTAACCCTATGAAATCTGGTCCATTCCTAGCTCTGGAGCAGCAGGGAACAAGCTTTTTGCACCCTTCTCTAGGGATGTTCACACGCCGCCATCTGTGTCCCCGTGTACACAAATCACTGAGTTGTCTTATTGTCTTAACTCAGTCGGTAGAGCGTGAGGTGCTTTATCTCAAGGTTGTGATTTCGAGTCCCATGTGAGAAAAAGTGGAAATAAAGTGTAATGTTACCTTGAAATTGTGTACACAATAGTCCGAAGGTTTTTAGAGAAACCCAAAAACTTCCCCTTTCTATACCCTTTCGTTGTCTTCTCTAATAAGTGGGGTTTTGTTTGGAAAGCTGTCTCTCAAAATTTATTAGAACATTGGAATGTACCTGGCATTTTATAAGCTCTTCAGTATGTTGCACAAATAAGTCTCCTTGCGATCAGTATGCAGTCCCTGGTTTCCAAATCCTCTACAGGATTTCATGAAGCTGGGACGATGCCACCCAGCTGCCTGAATGCCTAGCAGCTGGAGGAGGCAGTCCAGTTCCCAACTCTGCTGGCCTAGGTCATGTGATCACTTAGCTCCAGCAACAGGTGCCAGGGCTGGGCTCTGTTATCTTTCCATACCCTCCAACATCTCTCTGATGAAAATAGGGGTGTCCTGTTCCGTAATGATAATTTTACTATTTATACCCCACACATCTTATTAGGTTGCCCCATCCACTCCAGGCAGCTACCAACATATATAAAAACATAAGAAAACATTTTAAAAATTCCCTATACAGGATTACCTTCAGACAACTTGGGGGTCACATAACCCCATACCCTCTGGCATCAAATCAGAAACTGATGACAGCTTCTGTAAATCAGGGACATCCCAGGAAGACAGTGACACTTGGAGGGTCTGTCTTTCCCTGCTTTTTCCTTTGCTGTCTCTGGTCTCCTGCCTCCATTCAGCAGAGGAGGGACCCTTCATACAGAGAAAGATCGGGGCCACCAGGGCATAGTTGGTGCCTTCAGATGACTGCAGTGAAGGGAGAACCATTTGGAGGAACAGATTGCTGCAATTTTGGAAAGGAATGGAAAGAGCACGGCTACAATGTGGTTTGGTTCTTCAGGTACTTGTTGTTCAAGTTGTTCCATGGAATTCCTGATCTGGACCTTGTGTGGGAAATGAGTTCTCTCCATCACAAGAATAATTTTTGAAGCTTCACTGCAGTACAGTCTTAAACAGTCTAACAATAAGATAAGCAATATAAAGTAGCACGTTGCAAACAATGTTCAGTTCTTTATGTAATCCTGTGAACTTTCCTCTTTCTGGTTCCAGAGGGAGATTCTAAGCTTCTTCATCATTGCATAACTTATTTGCAACTGCTGCTGCTTCTCCTAGCCATCTCCAACAAGCACCCACTGACTTCTCAAGTTTAAGCTTCCTTCTGTTAGAGCTCTGCAGCTTCTGTTTCCAGCGATGAGTTATTAGGAAAGATACCAGCCTCCTCTGATGCTTTTGTCAGAGTGGAACCTCTGACTGGAACCTCTTGCCTAAAAGGTTCCACTATTTCTTCTTCTTTGTTTGCTTCATATGCCACAATGTTCTCTCTCTTTTTCTCAAATGCTCCAGGCGACCACAAGTGTCTAAAGAGAAACCAAAAGCTCGGAGTTGGGATGGGGGGGGGTGGCATGAATATCAGGTTGCCTTGTAGTGCCTGGGGGCCCTGCTATTAGATTTGTATCTCCTAAGTGTTGTAGGAGCTTTTAGGTTTTTTAGCTGTATATTTAAAAAACAAGGCTCTCATGAGATGTTTCATTCTTTTGTTATTCTGACACTGCATTGTACAGGAGCACGTTTGCACAGCTGTTAAAAATAGTGATTTTTTAATATGAGAAAAGACTAAAAATGCATTCTAAAGGGTTTCTTTAGAAGCAGAACAAGCATTTTATATTATTTTAAATAACAGAGGAAATGAGGCCCAATTCTTAGTGCTCATCCCAGGTTAAAGATTAGCAGCCACACCCTCACAAAAAGCTATGAGGATTTTGTTAGCAAGTGTCAGGGTGAATTCCTACCTTGCATTCCTGGGCTGCCTCTTCCTTGAGAACCACAGTTCTCACTAATAAGGGAGTCCTATGCTGCCTATAGCCAGCCCTGGTCAGCAATGTGTCTGCAGCTCTTTGAGCCAGTTGAACTTTCTGAGCACTTTTCAAAGGCAGCCCCATGTAGAGCGTGTTACAGTGACCCCTACACAATGTGGCACCAGACTGACTCTTTGGGGGGGGGGTAATTATCTGTTCTAAACGTGTGTTTTTGTGTTTGTGTGTGTGTAGTTTAAATTCTCTGAATGCTTGTTTTTTGAGAAGGGGCTCTTAGGGTCATGAATCAATGCCTTTCAAAACAGCTCCATAACATTGATTGCGCCCTCACACTGCTCCTTCTGGTGCGCGTATTTTGATCCAGAAAAGGAGCAGACGGGGAAAGGTTAAGCAGAATCCCCCCCCCCGGTCACCCTTAGGTGTGCTCAGCCTTCACCTGCTTCATGACTCCACCTTGCATGAGAAGACAGGATGGAGCTCCAGGAAACAGGAAGTGGTCCTTCAACCGGCCAGGACATCTCACCATCACAGACAGATCTAATCTCCTGCTGGGGAGTCAAGAGTGGCCTAGGGATGGCAGAGAGAGGAGGGGAAGGGGCCAGGGACAAAAGGGTGGTAGGCTCTAGACCCCTTGGACCCCTTCCTTGACACCAAGGGGAGCTCCTCTTCTGGGGCTAAAAGCATTGCTGTGGAGGTTTCATTTTTGTCATGACTGCAAGGGAAGAAGGGAAGGTAACCCCCCCCCCCAAACACAAAGAACTGAATGAAAAAAGCCCTGTCTGAGCGATTAGCTACTGGAGAGCATAATGTGGGGTTTAGCTGTAATGCTCACCTGCCTCCCTGAATGAGGCTTTTCTTGGGGTCAGAGAGCTGGGGAGCAACATGAAGTTCCCAGGTTACATTTCCTTCTGGTCAGCTATTCCAGCTCTTGTCTCCTCCCCATTTCTTTATGGAGGGGCAAAGGCTATGCACTTTGTATAGTAAAGGTAAAGGTAAAGGTATCCCTGCCCGTATGGGCCAGTTTTGACAGACTCTAGGGTTGTGCACTCATCTCACTCTAGATGCCGGGAGCCAGCGCTGTCCGCAGACACTTCCGGGTCACGTGGCCAGCGTGACGAAGCTGCTCTGGCGAACCGGCACCAGAGCAGCACACGGAACGCTGTTTACCTTCCCGCTATAAAGCCGTACCTATTTATCTACTGGCACTTAAGGGTGCTTTCGAACTGCTAGGTGGGCAGGAGCTGGGACCGAACGACGGGAGCTCACCCCGCCACGTGGATTCGAACCGCCGACCATGCGATCGGCAAGTCCTAGGCGCTGAGGTTTTACCCACAGCACCACCCGCGTCCCTATGCACTTTGTATAGATGCAATTATAACCAACAACTGGTGTCTTCTGGGTGCACTGAGCTCCCTCCCTCCCCGCCTGGCCTTCTCTCCTCCAGATATAATACAGATTCCCTCAGGATCTTGCCCCACCCTCCAGAAGGCAAATATATCTGATTGTTTATTTAGGACATCATTACATTGTATGAAATACCGCCTTGTTTCTCTGAAGGGTAGACTTTTCATCAGCAGTGATAAATATATAAATATGACATTAATTGGTTACTGAACAACAGCTTCAATGCTGTCAACATGAGCTTTGTCTAAGGTTTCAGACATACCCATTTCATTCAAGAAAGATGCAGAAAATACTTTTTCCTTTTTGATTCTGGGCACTTGACTTCTCCCATCCTGCTACCATCATGGCAGACATTTGGGGGTGAGATCCAGGGCCCCCTCAGCAGCAGCAGCAGCAACAACAGGTGGAGGCCCCACAAACATTTGTCACATTTTGAAGAGTTTTTTTTAAAAAACAAACAAACAAACAAACAAACAAACAAACAAAAGGCTTCTCCTTAGGCTCTCATAGCCCTGAAGTTAGCCCTTGAAAAAGAGAGGGTTGCCAAATAGCATGGCCTCCAAGAATGAAAACAAACACTTCCAGGCTGGCGGTCGACTTCCGGTGGAGCGCGTCCTCGCAGCGAGAGGGGATTTGACTGAGAGCGTTAATCCCGACCTACAAAGGGAGGAAAAGGGGGTGTTGAAGGGCGAAAGACACCCCAGATACAAGATCCATAGAAAGGCCCAAAAAACTTTAAAGGACTATTTTGAAATAAATCTAAAAACTGATGTAGAAAAAAGAGTGATATGGGACGCAAGCAAAGCAGTGATGCGAGGATTTTTAATTCAACAAAATTCAGTAAAAAAGAGAAAGCAAAATGAGAAGAAGGATAAGATCTTGGAAAAGATAAAAGAAGGAGAGAAGAAATTGAGATCAAAACCAAAGTCCCAGGAGATTCTGAGAGAGATTAAGTTATACCAGACACAATATATGGAATTGATGAATCAAGAGATTGAATGGAAGATAAAACAAATGAGACAAAAGACTTTTGAATCAGCAGATAAATGTGGTAAGCTTCTGGCTTGGCAACTGAAGAAAAGACAGAAACTAAATACAGTTACAAGTCTAGAAGTGGATGGAAAGAATATTTCTAAACCTAACGAGATAAGAAACTGTTTTTTGAGTTATTTTAAAAAGCTATATTCACAAGGACCGCAGAAGGAAGAAGATATAGACGAATTCCTTAAAAAGTATGGACTACAAAAAATCTCCTACCAAAGTAAGGTGGATCTAAACCAGAGAATAACAGATCAAGAGATAGAGAGTGCCATTCAAAATATGCAACTGGGCAAATCTCCAGGACCAGATGGACTGA